CCCCCAAAACGAAGAAAGTCTGAAAAAAAAACGAAAAAAGATCCTACTTTCAAAAAAAAAACAAAAAAAAAAAAAAAAAAAAAAACCAGCACCTGTCAGAACGGGTGCCTGCAATGACTCTGGGGGCTTTGGGCCTGGCTCCACTACTCACCAAATGCAAAACGACAATGAATCTTCTGCTACAACATGGAAAGATACACCACCACACTTCCTGTCTTTTGTGCATATGGTGAGTAGTGGAGCCGAGCTGTATGGCCACTCTCCAACGGGACCAATTTTGTTTCGTTTTCTGTTGTTTTTTTTCCTTGTTTTTGGCAGATTGGCATGGCTTGTCCTTTCAACGCGTGCGCACCTTCCCAGGATTGCACGCTTTGTGCATTCCAGCAAATGACAAACAAGAACAACAGAAAAAAAAAAAACAAACGAATGTGCCATTTTAAGAAAGAAAAAAACGCCCATCAGAAGAGGCGCCTGCAACGGGGGGGGAGGGACTTTCTGTTCCACGTTTCCCTCTGCCCGCCACTTGGCGGGTTCTTTTAGTTCTTTTTTTGCCTATTTTTTACACGTTGGCTTTTCCACGTGACCGTTGGCGAAAAGCCAACGGCATTCCAACGGGCCTAGTCCACTTTGCACACCCACGACCTGTTGAAGATGACCAGAATGAAATAATTCTGAATTACCTGGGGCCGGTGATAAAGCAAATGCGGCCCATTGGCATAATTCAGCCTTCTGTTGCACGCCCATGAACTGTTGAGATGCAGACCTGAGATCGAGCATTTCCCACACAGTTTTTTTTTTTGTTTGTTTTTTTTTTTTTCCCCCTGAAAATACAGGGGTTCCGGACGTGCATCCGGACAGGGGGTCCGGACCGGTCCGGATATTCCGGAATATTCCGGTTTCCGGAAGTCCGGATGTCGCCTGGAAGTCCGGGGTCCGGGGTCCAGATTCGGTCTGGAGTCCAGTCCGGCGTAGCTATGTATCTTTCTCACTCATATTCCTTGCAATTTGGTATCGGAGCTGGTTCGTGATCGCCATTACCTGGCACTGGCGACGTTGTTACTTGGTGCGCTAACGATGCTTCTGTGCGGTGAGGATACTTCGGTGATGGCTTGTTGTTGCGGCACCCAGGTAGAGGGGTGAGCCTATGGAAAGCTGTGGCGACAGCGTGGGAGCTGTGGTGACAGCGGATGTATGTATGCTGATGAGAGCATGCTCATGTGGCACTGCATTGCTTTGTGGGTGGTACCAAAGCTACGATCGGTCATTGAAATGCACGTCGGCTCAGTTGGTGAGAAATCTGTGGTTGGGGGCAGCTATCTCCAGGTATGTTGTTCCCTTACCTTATCTACCCTCTCAATCTCTTCTTACCGTGAGGAAGTGAGTCCAACCTTCTTGTCGCGAGGAGCCGTGAGCGCTCTACCTCGAGAGACGTCATTCTTCCCGGTGGCACATTTGGCAGGAGAGGGCGGTGCCTCTTAATGGCCCTGGTCGAAGCACGGGTCACGGTCACCATGCCAACCCATGGGTTCAGTACACGCAGGCCATGCTGCTTTGTCCTTCGAAGGCTCTTTGTTGCGCTGATAGAAGGGGTGTGCGGACTGACCAGTCCTATGTAGACGCTTTCCTGGCCGTCTACAAATATTTTTGGCGGGGGTCTGAACTGTCAACTGGCTGTGATAGTTGTCCTGATTGCGATGTTAAATAATTCCTGAGGGCCTTGGGGGTTGTCCTTAAAATGCCTCTTGATCAGCCAGATCAGTCAGACATAAGGCTCGTTGCACACGAGGATAGATAATGGGCAGTTCTGGTCATAAGCATACGCCTTGGGCACAATTGTGGGCCGTTAATGCACACCTTAAACGCTGTTGCTTGATGATGGCTACAAGCACGTTGGATACAGGGGAGGAAGATTCCAATTGAGACTCAACTAGCATACACAACTATACCGATTGTGCATACATTTGCTCACATAATTTATTTTTATTTTGATTATTTGGTTGACAGACTGTTAACACCTCACAGACAGCCTAGACTAGGATTGTAATGTTCTACATAGTCAATTCTCCTCGAAGCTTTTGTAAGTAAACTAATCCAAGTAGACATAGATTATGTGTACGGTTTGTGTAAATGTTGTTGATACCGCTTGAACGGTAGCCTAGGTTACTTGTCAGACATTATTTTATTTTTATTTATTTTTAGAACCGGTGAGACGCATGCTGTAGTAGGTTCCGGAGAGAACACTAGTGCAAACTACGTCTGCCTAGCCGATGAGTGGATCAAAAAGTGGTGAAGGTACAACTGACGATAGAAGGCAAACACGACGTGATACATGTAGTATTCTAGGTTCTACTTCTGGGAGACGAAAGAATGATAAGGGTCGAAGCAAGGGCCCGCACTCTTGAGACTGCAAAGCAGCAGCTGCTGTAGAAAGGACGTTAGCAGCAGCACCAGCTAGCGCAGTAGCAATGGCTACCTCTGCAGCATCGTTTACGGCTTCCTCGTCTGGTCAGTCGCTCGGGATGCCGCAGTCATACAGGCAGTCCATCTCCAGTACGTCAGGATCCGGAACCCGTAAGATGGCGGGCTCGCAGTTCAGCTCGCCGCCTCCACTCACCAAGGAGCAAATGGAGCTCCAGCAAGTAGAGAGGATCTGCTTAAGGGTTAGAGAAGGAACTTAAGGAGGCTACCGAAAGAGAAAATGAGATTAGAAATAGAAGTTTCAGACTTGAGGGAAGAGAGGCAGACAAAGCTGTTGTAAAGGGTTTAGATGACGCTGTCATTGATGACAACACGCAAATCCTCAAGGCAGGTCTCCTATCCATGCATGCATAAATGGACATGGACAGCAAACTGGATGCTATCCAGGACACCCTAGACCAGATCCTGAATGCCATGCACAAACCAGGTTCTAGGCCAACAGTTTTGCCATCGCTGCCATTATCGGCAATGGCAGGCTCGTATTCGCCTCAATCTAGTACCACATCAAGCGGTAATTCAACAGCAACACCACGGACGGTTGCTTCTACATTTTCTGGTCCAGCGGTTGGAGGTACACCACAACTGCCACGTGCCCCACGAGCGGGATAGCAGAAGCCTTGGTACCCCAAGACCCCATTGAAACCACCCTCAACCTTCTCAGGGGATAAAAAGGATGAGGCTCTCGACACTTGGTTGAGAACGGTGCCAGTGTGGGTGAGGGCGAAGAGGACGTTGGTAG